GTAGGGGGGAAAGTGTCATGGGTTCTGTCTATATAACAGCATTTGTAATAGCACTTTACAGAGTAAAACTAAAATCAGAGAAACTGGTGATATATCCATACAGGATTCATGTAAACAGTACGCTGGTGATTTAACAGGAAAGCTGATATGCAAGTAGGGTATTCCAATATAAATTAATTAAATTTGATTATTCTCTCTCAGCAACTGTCTAGGCTTTTTCTAATTGAGAATTCAAAACAAGGCTACCACTGCAATATGCAAGTATTATTTATGACATGACCATAGAACTCACAAATAAAAACAAATTTCGGGTTCTCCAGTACATCAGGAAAGTAACAAAGAACTGACAGCAATGGGACTATGGAAGGACAACGGATTAGGAGATAGAATGCCTGTGCTGAAGTCCTTATGCATTCTTGCTCAAGCAAATCGCAAACCCTCTAACATTGTGTTCTCTCATCTATAAACAGGAAAACTCCATCTCTGACATAGTTCTTAGGAGGGGTATGAGAACAACTGAAAATATGTGTAAAGGCAATGAAAATAGTAAAACATGTTAACGACGTAATAAGACACTATGTTATTTCCAGGGTTGAATGTTTTTCTTAAATGAATCTTCAAGTTCAGTAAGGCAAAAGGAATTGTCCTTATAAGCCAGAGTAGGATTTAAAAAAAAAAAAACCAAACTCAAGTCAATTAAATATCATAATGATAATGAAATCAATTATAGACTTCAAAATTTTTAGAAACACTAGAGCTAAGGAAACACCAAATTATAATTTGCTTTTGTGTAGGAGTCAGAGGAACTTGATTCAGAACATCATGGTAACAGTTTTTTAACATACCACATTTATATACAGATATCTGGTTACTGGCATCCAGGACAGCGAGGTCGTTACTCTTTTTAGGGTGTGCAGAGAACGTGACTTGATTCACAGGGTGCGGGAGCAACAATCGGTATGTGCACATGGGAGGTGGAACCACAGTCTGCTGGAAGACTGTCACCAATACACTCTCTGCACATGAAAAAGAAAAAGTAGGATTAGACATATGCATATTCAATTTGTAAAATAAGGCATCTGAACATCATGGTATCACTAAGTAATAATGGTGGTAAAAAACATATAGCAATTCTTAAAAATAATTTTCAGTGTTTTTTTCATGAAAAAGCTTAAGAACAGTATAGGGAGGAAAGTGTCATGGGTTCTGTCTATATCTGGTTATTGTCACCTCCAGCTCTAGAGTAGTCCATCTCTGAACTTGGAGTTTCAGGTGCCAGGGACTAAGGCAAAAAGGTGAAGAGGTCAGAGCTCTAGCTTTAAACCTGGGCCTGCAACCAAGCCACACTAAACCAAGGGAATCGATATCTTCGAAATCCTTAAAGTATGTCCTATGTATGGATTTGGTAATAAGGCAGATCTGATTAAGTTCTCTATATAGAATGTACTTATAAAATCAGTATTATGACTATTACACAGACTATGAATTAGTATATCAAACTCACATTACAATCTCAGAAGCAAGTGTCCTTATGTTATAGCAATAAGTAAACTATCCATTCGGGTGAGGATTTCATTCCCCAATCCTGCCCCCTATCCCCCCAAAAACCCCTCCACCTGACTATAAAACACCAACTTAATTCTCACAGTAGACAGATGTCTATGACATGAACGGAACATACCAGAGTTACATAATTAGCTAGTATTTATATCAGGAAACAAAGCAATACAAGTGGAGTTGTACAAGGGTCAACCTACATCTGTGTCAGGGCAAACAGACAAGGATAACACACTTGATCTCACAGACTCTACTCTTGTACTCGTCTCTACTGGAGGTCAAAATTTTCAAAATCTTTAAAGGCCAGACAAGTAAATGTGAAGGCCATGGATACAGTATAACAGGAAACTGTAGGGGGGAGGAGGGACTATGGTTCTTGAAAGAGTATAAACCCCACCGAAGGGCATTCCCATTCAATGAAAAACAAAACAAATAAGTAAAAATAAACCAAACAAGCAAGACAGACAAAGATCCCCCACTGTTCTAGTCAAACCACCACATCTGCAGGTCCTGGGCTTGGGATCACTTGCAGGATCATGGACATATTTCCCAGCAGCTTACTTCCATCAATGACAGCCACATTTGCCAGGTCACTTGCATTATCTCCCGAGCTCCGATCAGTTGTCCAATGCCAGTCATAGCAGAGGTAATGCCAGCCCTGACAGAGAACATGCAGCCGGTATGGGGTGACCGTGTCCCACATCAGCGACACAATCTTGTTCTTCCCACAGGTGCTGAAGGGCAGACTTTGTTTGAGATACCAGTGATAGTTTCCAACAGTCCAGAGCTGAACTGCAAAGGAAAAGGAAAAGGCCTTCAGAGGCCAAGGAACCATACTTCATACCACATCCTAGAGGGAGACAGGGGCAATCTTCTCTTTTTCATAGGACCCTCCCTGCTCAGTCTCTTCATTAAAATCATAATATAACAATAATAATTGTTAAAAGATAGTTTTCCATGGAGATAAAATGTCAAGCATCAGTAAGGTCAGAAATACTCATTTATTTTCACCTTTACCTTCAAACTGCATGATCATGATGGAAAGCTAA